AAAATTAAATAGAACATTAAGAAGAAACTTGAATTTGAAAGAGTGGTTCATTCTTATTATTTATTACAAAATATATTCAAAATTTTCAATAGTTTTTTAATAATTCTTTTGTAGATAGTCGAAGAATAAAAACTATACATTTTCTATTATATTACTTTTTTTATACATATTATGTAAAAAAAAAATTGAGTAAAATGCAATAAATAAAAAAAAACCTATTTGATTCACTTAAAAATATTAAAGTTAATGAAAAAAACTATATATTCCCTATTATTATAGATTTTTTTTTATATTATATAAACTGTATCAATGGGCTTAAAAAAACCTATTTGACTCACAAAGAATAATTTAATATTATTCACTAAGTATAATTTTAATAATTTAGAATAATTTTTGTAGTAAAAATGTATGAAATTTTTGTCATCTACTAAAATTTGTAAAGGAAAATTTTTCGTTAAAAATTTTAAAGTTAATGAAAATAAAATATCTATGCATTTCCTATTACGATAATTTTTTTATATATTAGACAAAAATATTGAGTAAAATGCAATAAGTTTTAAAAAAACTTATTTGATTCACAAAGAATAATAAATAATTTACAATAAAAGCACTAGAACATTTTTGTCAACTACTAAAAATTGGAAAAAATTTTTCTTTAAAATTATTAAAGTCAATAAAAATAAAATATGTATATATTTCCAATTATTTTAATTTTTATGTATACTTTATAAAAATATTGAGTAAAATGTAATGAGTTTAAATAAGCTTTATATGATTCACAAAGAATAATTTACAATGTATTTATAAATGCATTAAATTTTATCAAGTACTAAAAGTTGTAAAAGAAAATTTTAAAAATATTAAAGTTAATGAAAGAAACATCTATATCAGTTCTACCATTACAATTTTTTATATATATTATATAAAAAAATTTGAGTAAAATGCAAAATGAGTTTAAAAAAACAATTCGATTCTCAAAAAGAATTATTTACAATGTAAAATAATAATAAATAATACAATAAAAAAATTATAATAATACAATAATTTAATTAAATTATATATAGAAAATAATAAATAAATAAAATAAAATAATAATAAATAAATTATAAAAAATATATATATAAATTAATAAAAAAATATAAATAAATAAAATATATATACATAAACAAAAAATATAAATAATAAAAAATTTACAATAAAAGCAGTAGAAAATTTTTGCCATCTGCTAAAAATTGTAAGAGAATTTTTTTTTTTTTTTTTTTGTTAAAAATGTTAAAGTTATCAATAAAAAAAGTCCTGTCAGAAGTGGGATTCGAACCCACGAACACATTCGTGGACCAGAACACTCAGAACTCTGCTATCAGAGTAAGGAAAACCCTTGAGTCCGGCGCCTTAGACCGCTCGGCCATCCTGACATACCTAGAATAGGAAAATGTGAAATTTATCTACTAATAAGTATAGTACAGTTTTTTTGTTGTTGTTGCTGCTGTCATATCAGTAGTTCCTTTTTATCATGATTGCATAAAAATAAGAGATAAATTTTGTTTTTATTATTTATAGGAGTGAATAATTTTAATTTTTATTCATTTATTAGAATTACTGAAGTGGCAGTTTCTTTATAGTCTTTTGAAAACTCATAGATTCTTCTAAAATTTAAAATTTAAATTAACTAGATGTATAAAGGCCATTATTAATAAAACATTTCTTGACATACAATAATTTATTCAAGAAATCGCAAATCTTAGTTAGTCTTTAAATTTAAATCTAAATTTTAATGAGATGAATGCATTTTTAGTACCTGTCAATCATGTTTGTCTAGTAAAATTCTAATAACACAGAGTGATTATAATTAAAGTCCCACTTCCAAAATGGTGTAAAAAAAAAGCATTCGTCACAAAGAGTTTAACTTTGAATTGAAGATACTTGAAGAAAGGGGTAAGGTACGGCATCGAAAAAGTTGCAAAGTGTGTTAAAAGATGGCGTTGTAAGCGGCATAACGAAAAGGTATTCGGCTGCCAGTGATATTTTGAAACGGAATTACGTATTTGGCATGAGTTGCACATAAGTGTTCAATGTGTTTGATTGTTTCGGTTTTTTGACAGAAAAATTACTTCCAAGTCATCAGCAGTTGTGACACTGTTAGTTGGAAGCCCACCACACCAGCAACGTCCCACTAAATTGGATGGGAAAAATTGGTTTAACTTTTTGTAACTTTTTTTTTTGACGTCATAACCTTCCCCCTTCTTCAAGTATCTTCAGTTCAAATTTGAACTCATTGTGATGATGGGTTCTTTTTACAGCATTTTGAAAGTGGGACCTTTAATTATAATCACCCTGTATTTGTTTAGTTTAATTTTAAAATTTATTCATTTATTTATTTAACAGCAATTTGTGTGGAAAAATCCATATCATACTCATAGTATGTTGAAAATGGAACCAAAAGCAAATAACAATTTCATCAAACAAATAATATTTTTAAAAGAACAAATTATCTCTTAATATTAGTTTAACTGTTAAACAACAGTTAAAAGGTTAAATTAAGGAATTAATTAAAATCTATATTAAATAAGGCTATTAATTAAGATAATAAAACAAAATATAACCGGCATCTTTAAGAAAAAAAAATCTTCTTGGAAAAAATAACAAAAAAATAAATAAATACCAGCCGGTATAGCATTTAGAATAAATACACATTTTTATGAACATTTAATTATTTTAAAATTTTTTTTTGAATAGTAACAACTTTTAATTAGAATCTATTTTTATTTTTTACACTTTCAATTAACACTATCTTATACTTGCAATTAATTGCAAATGCTTAAAAAGAATTCATTAAGGATGTTGTAAATAATGGAAGAAAAATGTATTTTTAAAAATATATTTATATACAAAAATCTATTTAAGTATATTTTAGCGATATACTTCTTTTAAGCGTATATTTTAGCGATATTTCTGCCTTTTTAAATTGCAGATACTAAGAAATATAAAAAAAAGTTTTAAAATAATAAATTTTAAAATTTACTTCTCAGTTTTTAAACTTTTTTTAGTTAATTAACTAGCAACTAAATTTTTATTTTTTTTTTCTAATGAAAAATAACAATAATTTGAGGGATTATTCATAAATATATAAATGTAATAAAAAGTAAATTTAAAATAGCAGATGTATTTTTAAATGTATCATTAAATAACAGGTCCATAATATTAATACACGTGCATATACATATCACAGTTGGAATATTTTTAAAAACAAACATTAATAGATGTTGTTAATAAAAAAAAAAATTTTAGAAAAACGAGAGTGAATAAATCATAAAAAATACAAAAACAAACTTCGAAATAAATTAAAAACTAAAAATTAAAATGAATTTAAAAATTACGAAGAAATATGAATTTGAAAGAACTGCCCGTAATTATTATTTACTACAAAATCTGATCAAATATTTTCAATTATTTACTATTCATTTTTTTTTTTGTATATAACCAATAAATAAAAAAAATTTATTTCCTAGTATTATAAATATTCTTTTATCTTTTATATAAATACATTTAACCGAATTTATAAAATGTAATAAATTTAAAAGAAACCTATTTGATTCATAAAAAATGATTTACAATACATTATAAAATATTTTTAATAAATTTTAAATGCTTTAAAATGCTTGTCAATTACTAAACATTACATTAAATAGAAATGGAAAAATAACAAACAACGTTTAAAAGTTTATCTTTTTTTTTTTACCCAACTGCATTATGAGATAAAAATATCTAGACTATTAAATTTCATTTTCACACTGCACTACGATATCTTACTGAATTTTGTTAATGTTTCCTCATTTAATTCCAGAAATTATTGAAAATTACAGAAAAACAAACCCAAAATTTATTAGATGAAATAAACTGGACAGTGTATAAGGAAACCCACTTGATTCGCAAAAAATTAATATTAATAATGCATTATAAAGTAATTTGAATAATATAATAATTTAAATGAATTATAGATGCATTAAAAATGGGCATTATGGGCTAAAAATTTAAGGGTTATTTTCGAGGGGCAAAAATTGTTACAAAATGAGGACCATAATGAAAAAAAAAATTTATCTGTCATATATAAGATTCAAAAAAAAATATTTAAATGCATGCATTTAAAAGTATGTATTTGAGTATGCATTGAGTATAGGCTTATGTATTTGAGTATGTATGTATTTGAGTATGCATTGAGTATAGGCTTATGTATTTGAGTACGTATGTATTTGTGTAAGTATGCATTTAAAAAAAAATACAAGTTTATTTAATTAATGAATTATTAATTATTTTTAAATAAAAATATTTTCTTATATATCAAAAATAAATGAATTAATTACAAATTTTTGTGCTTATTTTGAAATAAAAAATCCTAATTGATTAAAAAAAAAAAAAAAAACTAATTATATTATAACATTATACTGGAGATAAAAAAAAAAACCCTATCACATTTATTTCTTTTAAAATTCTACCTCTACTTCTATTTTCAAGTACTAATAATAAAGTAATTTGAATAATATAATTTAATTGGGATATTTTCAAAAACAATCAGTTAATGAAAATCCTTTTTATAGCAAAACAAGAGTAAATAAGTTAGCAAAACAATACAAAAAAATTTTACGAATAGTGCCACAACTCAAATAAAATTGAATTTTAAATAATCTATTCAAATTTCAATAATTTATTTTCATTTTTGTAGGCAGCCGAAAAATAAAAAATATATATATTCGCTAGTATTATAAATTATTTAAACAATGCATAAAACTATGTAGTAACATGTTTAAAATAGAATGAATTTAAACTAAACCTATTTGATTCGCAAAAAAAAAAAAAAAAAAAAAAAATTCACTAAGTAATTATTTAGAAATAATTTAAATATATTATAAATTCTTTAAAATATTTATTTTCTTCAATTTTAAATAAAATTTTTGGTGCAAAAATATTAAAAAGTTATGATCATAGTGAAAAAAAAATTAACCTGTCAGAAGTGGGATTCGAACCCACGCCCACATTCGTGGACCAGAATACTCAGAACTCCGCTACCAGAACAAGGAAAAACCCTTGAGTCTGGCGACCGCTCGGCCATCCTGACATGCATAGAGGTAGGAAATTCCAAAAATTTAAAGCAGTGTATAAGTGAATAAATGTGAACTGGTGAAAAGTATTTCAGGTAAACATTTTATCAGTCTATTTAAATTCATTTAATTTTGTAATCAAAGATAGCATGTATAGATGGCATTAAAATAATGCTATTAATATATTTCTACAATTATAAAGGAGTGAAAATCAATTAGCGAAATTAAATTTTTATTATAAAGCGTAAGTAAAAAGCTTTTTGAAATGATTTTAATTTAAAAATAGAAAATAATAAGAGTGTTTTTAATCTTATGATACAAAAAGCTATTAAAAATAGTTCAGAATATTCTAAATAACATTAAATTCATAAAAATTAAATTATAATTATAAAACTAGATTCGTAAAAGAGATAATGAAAATAGCTTAAAATTGTTTCCTACTTTCTGCTGCCAAATATAAAAATTTTTATTTGTAGAAGTAATGAGTAATTATTAATAATTTGTAGTAAAATAATATTTTAAATAAATTAATAATTATCAATATAATTAATTAATAATAAATATTTAAATAAATTATAATAAATAAAAATATCGTTTGTTAAAAAATATTTTTATTATTTTGTAATGAAAAAGTGGCCTAATGCCAATTCTAAAATCGTTTGTAAGTTAGTTCTAAAAAGTTTTGAAAAGATTACAATTTAAAAGTAGAGCATAAGAAATATGTTCTTTACTGTACAGTATAAAAACCTTTTAAAAAATGGTTCACATGTATTTGGATTCTTTCCTATATATCCATTAGGCCACGTGGACACGTCCGAGAACGATGCATTGTTATATTGAATAATCTCACGTTCGATTTGTAACAGTTCGTAAAATATGAAATGGTAGTTAATTTTCGAAATAGGAGCAAGAAAAAAAAAAAACACGACCGGTTCCGTAATTAACGTTACACAACAACCGTCCACGACAGGACTCGAACCTGCAATCTTCTGATTCGAAGTCAGACGATCCATTAGACGTGGACACGTCCGAAACGATGCATTGTTATATTGAATAATCTCAATTTGTAACAGTTCGTAAAATATGAAATGGTAGTTAATTTTCGAAATAGGAGCAAGAAAAAAAGAAACACGACCGGTTCCGTAATTAACGTTACACAACAACCGTCCACGACAGGACTCGAACCTGCAATCTTCTGATTCGAAGTCAGACGCCTTATCCATTAGGCCACGTGGACACGTCCGAGAACGATGCATTGTTATATTGAATAATCTCACGTTCGATTTGTAACAGTTCGTAAAATATGAAATGGTAGTTAATTTTCGAAATAGGAGCAAGAAAAAAAAAAAAAACACGACCGGTTCCGTAATTAACGTTACACAACAACCGTCCACGACAGGACTCGAACCTGCAATCTTCTGATTCGAAGTCAGACGCCTTATCCATTAGGCCACGTGGACACGTCCGAGAACGATGCATTGTTATATTGAATAATCTCACGTTCGATTTGTAACAGTTCGTAAAATATGAAATGGTAGTTAATTTTCGAAATAGGAGCAAGAAAAAAAAAAAAACACGACCGGTTCCGTAATTAACGTTACACAACAACCGTCCACGACAGGACTCGAACCTGCAATCTTCTGATTCGAAGTCAGACGCCTTATCCATTAGGCCACGTGGACACGTCCGAGAACGATGCATTGTTATATTGAATAATCTCACGTTCGATTTGTAACAGTTCGTAAAATATGAAATGGTAATTTTTCGAAATAGGAGCAAGAAAAAAAAAAAAAACACGACCGGTTCCGTAATTAACGTTACACAACAACCGTCCACGACAGGACTCGAACTCGAACCTGCAATCTTCTGATTCGAAGTCAGACGCCTTATCCATTAGGCCACGTGGACACGTCCGAGAACGATGCATTGTTATATTGAATAATCTCACGTTCGATTTGTAACAGTTCGTAAAATATGAAATGGTAGTTAATTTTCGAAATAGGAGCAAGAAAAAAAAAAACACGACCGGTTCCGTAATTAACGTTACACAACAACCGTCCACGACAGGACTCGAACCTGCAATCTTCTGATTCGAAGTCAGACGCCTTATCCATTAGGCCACGTGGACACGTCCGAGAACGATGCATTGTTATATTGAATAATCTCACGTTCGATTTGTAACAGTTCGTAAAATATGAAATGGTAGTTAATTTTCGAAATAGGAGCAAGAAAAAAAAAAAAAACACGACCGGTTCCGTAATTAACGTTACACAACAACCGTCCACGACAGGACTCGAACCTGCAATCTTCTGATTCGAAGTCAGACGCCTTATCCATTAGGCCACGTGGACACGTCCGAGAACGATGCATTGTTATATTGAATAATCTCACGTTCGATTTGTAACAGTTCGTAAAATATGAAATGGTAGTTAATTTTCGAAATAGGAGCAAGAAAAAAAAAACACGACCGGTTCCGTAATTAACGTTACACAACAACCGTCCACGACAGGACTCGAACCTGCAATCTTCTGATTCGAAGTCAGACGCCTTATCCATTAGGCCACGTGGACACGTCCGAGAACGATGCATTGTTATATTGAATAATCTCACGTTCGATTTGTAACAGTTCGTAAAATATGAAATGGTAGTTAATTTTCGAAATAGGAGCAAGAAAAAAAAAACACGACCGGTTCCGTAATTAACGTTACACAACAACCGTCCACGACAGGACTCGAACCTGCAATCTTCTGATTCGAAGTCAGACGCCTTATCCATTAGGCCACGTGGACACGTCCGAGAACGATGCATTGTTATATTGAATAATCTCACGTTCGATTTGTAACAGTTCGTAAAATATGAAATGGTAGTTAATTTTCGAAATAGGAGCAAGAAAAAAAAAAAACACGACCGGTTCCGTAATTAACGTTACACAACAACCCGTCCACGACAGGACTCGAACCTGCAATCTTCTGATTCGAAGTCAGACGCCTTATCCATTAGGCCACGTGGACACGTCCGAGAAACGATGCATTGTTATATTGAATAATCTCACGTTCGATTTGTAACAGTTCGTAAAATATGAAATGGTAGTTAATTTTCGAAATAGGAGCAAGAAAAAAAAAAACACGACCGGTTCCGTAATTAACGTTACACAACAACCGTCCACGACAGGACTCGAACCTGCAATCTTCTGATTCGAAGTCAGACGCCTTATCCATTAGGCCACGTGGACACGTCCGAGAACGATGCATTGTTATATTGAATAATCTCACGTTCGATTTGTAACAGTTCGTAAAATATGAAATGGTAGTTAATTTTCGAAATAGGAGCAAGAAAAAAAAAAAAACACGACCGGTTCCGTAATTAACGTTACACAACAACCGTCCACGACAGGACTCGAACCTGCAATCTTCTGATTCGAAGTCAGACGCCTTATCCATTAGGCCACGTGGACACGTCCGAGAACGATGCATTGTTATATTGAATAATCTCACGTTCGATTTGTAACAGTTCGTAAAATATGAAATGGTAGTTAATTTTCGAAATAGGAGCAAGAAAAAAAAAAACACGACCGGTTCCGTAATTAACGTTACACAACAACCGTCCACGACAGGACTCGAACCTGCAATCTTCTGATTCGAAGTCAGACGCCTTATCCATTAGGCCACGTGGACACGTCCGAGAACGATGCATTGTTATATTGAATAATCTCACGTTCGATTTGTAACAGTTCGTAAAATATGAAATGGTAGTTAATTTTCGAAATAGGAGCAAGAAAAAAAAAACCACGTTCCGTAATTAACGTTACACAACAACAACCGTCCACGACAGGACTCACTGCAATCTTCTGATTCATTTAGGCCACGTTATATTGATATTGAATAATCTCACGTTCGATTTGTAACAGTTCGTAAAATATGAAATGGTAGTTAATTTTCGAAATAGGAGCAAGAAAAAAAAAAACGAAACGACAGGACTCGAACCTGCAATCTTCTGATTCGAAGACGCCTTATCCATTAGGCCACGTGGACACGTCCGAGAACGATGCATTGTTATATTGAATAATCTCACGTTCGATTTGTAACAGTTCGTAAAATATGAAATGGTAGTTAATTTTCGAAATAGGAGCAAGAAAAAAAAAACACGACCGGTTCCGTAATTAACGTTACACAACATCCGTCCACGACAGGACTCGAACCTGCAATCTTCTGATTCGAAGTCAGACGCCTTATCCATTAGGCCACGTGGACACGTCCGAGAACGATGCATTGTTATATTGAATAATCTCACGTTCGATTTGTAACAGTTCGTAAAATATGAAATGGTAGTTAATTTTCGAAATAGGAGCAAGAAAAAAAAAAAGAAACACGACCGGTTCCGTAATTAACGTTACACAACAACCGTCCACGACAGGACTCGAACCTGCAATCTTCTGATTCGAAGTCAGACGCCTTATCCATTAGGCCACGTGGACACGTCCGAGAACGATGCATTGTTATATTGAATAATCTCACGTTCGATTTGTAACAGTTCGTAAAATATGAAATGGTAGTTAATTTTCGAAATAGGAGCAAGAAAAAAAAAAACACGACCGGTTCCGTAATTAACGTTACACAACAACCGTCCACGACAGGACTCGAACCTGCAATCTTCTGATTCGAAGTCAGACGCCTTATCCATTAGGCCACGTGGACACGTCCGTCCGAGAACGATGCATTGTTATATTGAATAATCTCACGTTCGATTTGTAACAGTTCGTAAAATATGAAATGGTAGTTAATTTTCGAAATAGGAGCAAGAAAAAAAAAACACGACCGGTTCCGTAATTAACGTTACACAACAACCGTCCACGACAGGACTCGAACCTGCAATCTTCTGATTCGAAGTCAGACGCCTTATCCATTAGGCCACGTGGACACGTCCGAGAACGATGCATTGTTATATTGAATAATCTCACGTTCGATTTGTAACAGTTCGTAAAATATGAAATGGTAGTTAATTTTCGAAATAGGAGCAA